TCACTGGGATTTGAACTCTAGACCTGCCACTTGGGGGTTGACAACCTATCCACTTCACTAGGTCGCCACACCCCTAACAGCTTTATTTGATTATATAAATTGATTATAGTATTTAATATAGTATTAAGTGTTTTAGTGTTTAAAGTATATTGTAATGAAATATCTATAAGACTGTATAGCAGTTGATTAGATGAACCAATTGTCTAGTGAAGGTAAGAACTGATTTGATAATAGTGATGACAGATAGGTAAGTATAAGTAATATTGTTTGTATAAAATATGTGAAGTAAAAAGTTTATTTAGTAGAATTTTAATTTTAAAGAATTTAAAAATAAAGGACTAAAAGCTGTATAAAAAGTTTAAGATTTTTTGATTATTGTTGATATATAGCCAAATAGCTTGCCAATTAACTTGGTTAAGAATTTTGTGCTATTTTTAAAAACAGTTTTGTATAATCTATAATATGTAAATATGTGCATAACATATTGTATAAATACTGTAATAAATAGGTAATTCTAAAAGAAAGTTTTCAAAGTTTAAGGTATATGCAGGGTTGTAAATATTATAAGACATAAAGGTAAGATATAACCTATTGTGATGACTGTATATAAGTTGGTTTGTAAGATTATTGTACTAATTATTCTAATAAGCAGTAACTTTGTGAAAAATAATATGAATATTGTATGATTTAACAAAGTTAATAAGTGTGTTTCATAATAAAAAATATGATATATATATATAAGATAGAGTATAAGTTAAGTTTAAAAAACTGTGATATTTAGAAATTACAGACTATAAGTTAATATATATGTGTATAGTATATTTTCTCAGAGCAGTAAGCTTAGACTTAAATAAGCAAGGCCAGTATCTTGTTTGGGTTTAAAATATATACAATATATTGTTGTTTAAAATTTAGACCTATCCAATACCTATAGAGCATTGTAAGTTATCTAAATTAATGACTAGCTATCTGTATAAAAATAAAGTTTTATAATTATACATTGTAATTAATAATTTATTAAAGATTATCTGTTAGATTGCTAGGTTTAAATATGGTTTAGATTAGGTATATTGTAATGTTGATATGTATTAGAAAAGTTAAAAATTTGAATAGAATGTTAAATTGCAATAAAGTATATGAGATCAAGGTAATTGGCATTGAAGTTAAGAGTTTTGTTATATATATTAACTTGATCAAAAAAATTAGAAGAGAGGTTGATAGGAATATTGATTGTATATTTATTGGCAATTATATAAGAGTTAAGAAAGCAACCTGTAATTGAACAAATAGAAGTAAATATAAATGAATAAATTGTTGTTCTATATGACATTGCCAGTAAGTAATAAGAATAGTTTTTGAAAAAGAAGATTGTCTTCTAGTTTTGCTAGTAATGATTTGATTGTCAAGTACTATAATAAGCTATGATTTTTTCTGTAAAAAAAAGTATTTAGATTATAATAGTTTGTATTAGATAAGTAGCAGCAGAAAGGGCAGGCAGACTAAATTAATTTCACCTGGGACCCCAAGAATAATAGTTTTCAAAATATGTATTCCAAACCTCCATGCTGGCTAAAATGAATACTTATTAATTTCACCATTCTAGAGCCCTCAAATTATAGTTCTAGTATATCGATAAAATTTGTATTCTTAGAATGTGCTCTAGCCTTCTCTCTCTTAATAAAATTATTAATTTGTTTTCTTGTCTTTGTGCACCTTTCTGATTATATTTTCGACATAATAAAAATTTACATCAAGTAGAAAGTATAGGCAGACCAAGTTATTTTCACCTGAGAACTTCAAAAATGATAGTTGACAAATAATATACTCCAGCCTCTCTTACTTATCAAAATTATAAATTTGTTTTTTTGCTTTTGCATGCCTTCCTGATTATAATTTTGTCATAATAAAAATTTACACCTAGATTATGTGCCTCTACTCCTCTCACTCATCAGAAATACTAATATATTTTCTTGCTTTCGCATGTCCTTCTGGTTATAATCCTGATATATAAAAAAAATGAGATAGGTGTAAAAAAAAAATCAGATAGCATAAATGGCTAGCAAGATGTAAATAAAAAATTATCAACCAAAAAAATCTAGCTCTACTAATCTCCAAAGAGGCCAAGACCCATATCCTCACCATCTGAATCAATCAGAGCTTTAGAAATGTTACCAGAGGTAATAATTCTGGATTGAAGAATTGTAACCTCATCACTAGGCTTGAAAATCGAAGCTTTATCTCCAGTATCTTCTGATTTTTCACTCATGATTGGAGCAATAGTGCTGGTTACCTGTAGTGCTTTGATCTGTGGACCTTGCTCTCCTGCTTTTTCAGTTTTGTTTGCTGACAGCTCTAGAAGTAATTCATCAATTTTCATCTGAATTAAATCATCTGCATTAGCTTTATCCCGAAGCTTATTAAAATATTGGATCACATAATAGGTACCAGAATGCTTTCTATAAAGGCCAGGCTCAGAACTTGTTGGCTTACCACAAACCTTACAGGGAATGTGGGGTTTAGCTTTCCAATACTCAAAACACCCTTCAGGCTGACAACAAGTTTACCTACAGATGAATTCAGTCATGAGTAAATAATTGCAATAATATTCACCTATCATAGTAATAAGAAATAAATATTTTATTTTAAACAAAAGTTTTTGCTATATTAATACAAATACTATATTCAATACTTATACAAGATGACTAACTATAAAGACATTGAATTAGCATTAGTTGAAGTAATCAAAGTAGCATATAGCCAAGGCATGAAAAAATATGATAAAATGGGATTAACATATGTGAGTTATTTAAAAACAATGTAACGTAAAAGTGATCCAGATGATCATTGCAGATACGTAGCAAAGCAATGAGCTCTAAATGAGGAAGTTTATAATGAAAAAATGGCAGATTTCAAAGGCTGGTATAATGAAGAAGTGTATCAGAGTCTAGAAAAGTTATACAAATTATATCTCTCATTTGCAAATCAAGAAGAGGTTGTACAAAAAAGGTCTACAGAAGAAGTTAATGAAATACTTAAACTTCATAAATTTGAAATTTAATTCGTAAGTACTCATTGTGGTGGTAATTCTGTGTCAGAAGGTATGATTTGAAGTTTCTCTCTTACAAAAGATCTTTTTGAACCATTGCCTTTACCATCTATTAGCCAATACAAGACTGGCTGATTTTTTTGCACTAGAGATTCACGGATATAGTAAATCTAAGGAGACCAATTGCAATCAGTTGCATGTTTTCTTCCACCCTTTAATTCTCCAGGTTTAAGAAGATACCTTACTAAGACATCATGAGATAATCTAGGCTCATCAAATCCAAAAGGTCCTTTTCATGGTTTGGAAGGTTTAGCAAAGACATGTTCTTTTTTTCAAGCTTCAGCAGGAGAAATACCCAGAAGTCGAGTTACAGAATTGTTAAGCTCTATAAGAAAAATTGAAAGGTTTTTTACCCAAGCTTAACAGTGCTCAGTAGAAGGTAATCTCATTTCAACACCATCTTGAATAAAGAATGCCCATTCTTGAAGTGTATAATTAAATCTCTCAACAATATCTATAGATTCTTTAGAATTAGCTAGTTGAATTTGGATACCATATTCGTTCATTAGTATGATAACATTACCTTGGAATTCTATGCCCCTATCTACTATTAAAACTTTAACTTTAGACCAGATAATTGGGCATATTCAGGAGTTAAAAAGTTTTACAAACCCTTTAGCCATGCTAGCAGAATCATGCTTAGTTAAAGGATAGGTCCATTTAGTACAGGTAGCAATATCTATACAATTAAGTGCAAATTTATAAGTTTTATTTCCAATTCGATCATAAGGCATATAGCATAAATCAGCTTGAATACTTTCATAGTTATGGTAATATTATTAAAAGATGCTTGTGGAATATACTTAGGCTGAGGCTTGTGAATCTGATACAAAGCCTGTTTGTTAAGCTAATTTTTTATTATGACTAAAGTAAACACATATCTGGCTCTCTTACAAGCAGTTTGCATTTTTTCAGCAGTCTGATAATATCTCTCAAATCTGTAATAAAGTTTCTGGAAAGCAAGATCCTGATCTAAGTCTCAAGCTTTTTGGGGATCAATATAAATAACCAGTCTTTCGACTTGGTGCTTTCCTATTCCAATTTTTATAATTATGAAAAAAAGCTAGCATCTATAAAGTCAGATTCTATTTATTAGCTAGGGCACTTTTTTTCTTGCAGTTAACAAAAATATGTTTCTTAAATAAGTATCCTAGCTTTTCAAAAACTATGGAGTATTATGAGCTATGCAAATTAGACGAAACTATATCTTTGAAAAAACAGAATCCATTCGCTTCTAAACCTCCATTTAGATTAGGAGTTGCAGGCACCTCTGAGTCAGGAAAGACAAAAATAGTAGTACGTTTGTTTCTAGGAAGTAAATATCCTAAAATATATCCATAGATGTCTGGTGAAAAACATAATTATAAAATACCAAAAGGCAGAAGCAAAAATTTTGGTGAAAGGTATATTCTGTGTGATGATTTAATTGTTGTTGTGCAACACCAAGATGAAGAATTATAGAAAACAGTACAATGTTTTTATAAATTTATAGCCAAGAATAAGCAAGCTTCATGATATGAAAATGTGAAATTCAAGCTAATCATGTCTGAAGAATTACCTGATATTTTATCTTTCAAAAGAACTGGCCGATCTACTGCTATAGTCTTTGATGATCTTGCCAGTGAACTTCTGGCAACTCAACTAAAAATCGTTCCTTTCTTTAGGTCAGGCAGGCATGAAGGAATTAGCTTAATTTATATTGCTTAGTGTTTCTATGAAATCTATCAAAATATATATGGATATTTTAAATATATTTCATTGCATTATGAATGTAGAACATTAGATAGTATAAAACGAATTCTTAAAGATATGTATGATGATTATGAGCCTCTAGCAAAAAAAGTTTATGAAGTGATAAAAAAACATTTTATGATTATTGATATCCGAAAACCATTTGATAACCCCTTATCAATTAGATTTAGATGAGACAAACCTTTAAACGACTAGCAAAATGATTGAATTTGGGATGATTCATGCTTAGTTGTCTTATTCATATTCATAAGGTAAAGTTTCATAGGGGGTAGTTCTGTCTTTTGGTTCTTCTGCATATCAGGTTGAAAATCCATAACTATAATTTCTATTTAAGGATATTTTATAGTTCGAAATATTTTTTTCTTCATTGTAAGATGAATATAAAGGAGAGAATATGCACTATAGGAAGTATATGATTAGTAATACTATTACTCCAATGAATGCATACTGAAAGAATAAGGAATAAGATGATTCTGAGGTTGTTTTGAGGCTAGTGATTTTATTACCATTTTCCTGTTCTTTAACACCTCCAAGCATTTTAGACTTACTGAATATTTTTAGGATCTGCTTGGCTAAATAATCATTAGCTTCTTAAAGAAGGAACTCTTTTTCTGATAGTGTTTTTTGTACTGAGAACAAATTATCTCTTATTTGCATTAATTCTTCTTTATTATTTATCAATTCTATTTGTGTTGAGGTTAATTCATCTCTCAATCACATTAATTCACCTTTTTTTTTACTTAATTCATCTTTCTTCAGATCTAAGTCAATATTCTTTAGCTCAATGTTTTGTTTTAACTGCGCCAACTCTTGTCTAAAGAAATCCATTTCTAATAAGTCTTTCTGGGCTAAAAAATATTTTCTTTCCAACTCTTTTACTTCCGATTGGAGAGCTTGTATCTTTTCCAATTTTGTAACAATCTCACTCTTAACACTTGCAAGAGAAATCTCTTTTTGATTAATCTTATTTTTAAATTCTCTTGTCTCATCTTTAAGCTGGCATACACGCTCTGAAAAACTCTCATTATTTTTCATCAAGAGACAGTTTCTAGTGCCAAGCTGAATATCTGAGCTTATAGCAATATCTAGATCATGTTTTAAATGTTGGTTCTAAGCTCAGTTTGGCTAGATAGGTATCAATTAAATGGCAAATCTCCAAGTTTATTGCCAGATATCAAGGGTGCCTCATTATTTATTTCATTTAGCATATACACGTTCGCTATATAATTTACTTGAAGGTAAATATTTTTATGATTTTTTTTTCTAAGACACGATCTCAAATCTCATCATGTATTTTTTTTTATTTTGAATGCTTACATACTGTATAGTAGAAAAAAAAGTATTTTTGAACAATGTGTAAAAGATTTTTAAAATCTGATGCAACCTTTTTAACGATAGAAGCTATAGAAGAAATTAGAAATGCCTCAAAGAATATTTCAAATGCATCTCATATTATATGTAAAAAAATATCAGATTGGTATAAAAAGGTATAAGAATATAGTTAATAACCAAATGCCTTCCGAACCTACTGAGAAATGGAAATTTATTGCAAACTCATTCTATTCATCTCAGAAAATTAATTGGAATAAAGAAATTGAAAAGATATATTATTTATATGGCAAACTTTCTAATTAATAATTTTTGAAGATTTTCAAATATCCATATTTTTTAAAAATAATTAGTAAAAACTGGTCTTTTTCAAAAGTTATTAAAAAAATTCGATAATATCTGATAATATTTAATAAATTTTAATAAATATTGATTATAATTTTTAAATAATTATCAAAAAAAATTGATAAATTTTAATAAACATTAACATATTTTTTTATTACAAAGAATGGAGTGTTTATTTAAAGAATATTATTGTGCAGGTGCTACTTATTTATTATCAGAAGCACTTAAGGAAATCTGCAATTCTCATGGAAAAGTTAAAAATGCTGTAACAGTGATGGCTAAGAAGCATTATATTTCAACAAAACGAGTATATGAAATTTGGCATAAACATGCATTAGGTCAGTCTGATCATGCTCAACAAGATTTATAGTCAGGAGGTGCAGAGCATAATACTTCCTCCTTTACTATTATACAAAAAGATGTGATTATTCATACAGAACACCTTGCAGATGATGAGAATGGTCCAAATTCCCATATAAATTCTAATAGTCTGAATACAGTAACTAATAGGTGAAAAAATAAAGTTAGTCGAAAAAAAAAGACTAATATAAAGCCAAAAGACAAATCTTCTTCTTCCATGGCTTTAGTAGAAAAAAATGAAAATAAAGTAGACAATACTCCCAAAGGAAGCAATACATCTAGACAGGAATCTGATCTTAATAAATTAGTAAATATTACTAGAGAAGCTGTCATGCATCTAATCTATTTTCTATAAGTTGTGAGCATTTTTCTGCAAGAATATTACCTGCATTTAATATCATATCAAGCCATCTTTCAGTTTTTAATAGTTGCTCTTCAAGCTTTACGTATTTTTTTTTAAGTCCTTCTTACTAGTCAGATTAGAGAAATCAGTAGATACTTGGTCCTGATCCTCTTTTGACAGATCCTTAGCCACTAGGGTCTTGCTATATATTAGAATAGTATAAGACTTTCTATATAACTTCATTTTGAATTGGTTTTTATTCGGATCAAGAATACCTTGAACTTTTCGAATCCATGTCATACCTAAACATAGCATTAGTTTGGGCTTACTGTTATCAATACGAGTAAAATTTCTAGTAGCTATAACTGATTTACCATTCTTATCCTTTATATTGATTGGCACATCTGTAAACCATCCCAATGATTTGGTGATATGTTTGGAGTTACCTTTTATTGTGAAGTCTGATGGCTTGTTAGCTTTCTACCCAAGAGCATTAATTGTTGCATCATTCACTTCTCCAAACTCACTCACACTATTTAAAAAAAAATTAGAGATCGTTAAATCATCTATTTTAGCATTCAAATATTGTAATGACAAAAACCACTCATTTTTTTTTGACTTCTTCTCTTGAGCCTCTCGAAATAGACACATTTTTCGCATTGTCAGTAAAAGTTTTGGCAATAGCTCATCATATGTTTCAGGCTGGCTGGATTCTAAAGACAACTTTTCATTTACCTGTTTTTTTTTACTGGTAGATCATACCACCTATTTTCTTCCTCATTATTATCTCCATTTTTCTTATCTGAATCAGGAAGTGTGTTTTGAAAATTTATAGGTGTAAAAGGTTTAAAATAAGACTGATTAAAATTAGATCATGCTATCTGCCTTTTAGGGCGACTGCCTTTACTATGATCAGTTTCTCTACAAATATCACATTTATATATATTTAGTTTCTGAAATTGGTTTGTTAATTGATTTACTGCATCACGAGTTTCATCAAGTCCTTTTTCAATCTTATTAAATTTAGCAGAGTTATTGTTTTGCTGTGAATGGAGTCTTTGAAAATTTTTTACAGGATAATCAGAGTCAAATTCTTCTTTACTAAATACACCTAAATCTTTTAAGAATTCGGATACATAATAATTCTTAAGACCTTTCTCTGATTTCAGTAAAGATTATGGACCTTTCAGCTGTCTAACCAGTTCAACAGTTTGTGGAGTAGATACTTGCTGAGCCATTTGTGATTGAAAATCAGATTTTTGCTTTTCTAATAAAGACTAGTATTCAGTTTTTTGCTGTGCCAGTGCATTTTGAATTGCTTTTTGCATATCTTCTAAAGAAATTCCTTGTTGCTATGAGGTTGAAACAGATGAAGATTCATATATTTGCCAAGATGTTCGATTAGATATTAGCAGATCAGATATTCTATTTCTTTTATGTCTAGCAATTCATCTTAACTCTATCTCATAAAACTTTTTAGCTAATTTATCTAATGGCAAATGTTCACCAATATCCTCAGCTTTTTCAAGCCATGGGAGTGGAAGAGCATCTAAAAACTTTTTATGTAATTCTTCAGGCCTATAGCTGGCTTGTCTACTTATTTGTAATATTTTTCTATATAATTCATCTATAGTCATGTCTCCCTTTTTAATTGTTCCATATGTTAAATCCTAAAGTTCCTTTTTTACTGTAGAGAAATGAGTTTTTAGCCACCATATGGCTTGACCAAATCGAATACCAGCTACAACTACTGTATTTCCAGCATTAGCATTTGGTGCATTTACAGGATCATTAGTAGGACAGCCATCTGCTATACGCCAGTCTTCATTCCAAGCATCTTCTACAGCTCTTAACTTGACTATTGCATTTCCTGATTGCTAACAGCCTCATTTAATGCATTAGCTCTTATCTGTAATGCAGTTTACCCATTTACTGCAACTAAGTTAGCCTGCCCTGTATTATCGAGTAAGTTAGTTAGCTCCCAATTCTGCTTTGTAGTAATCTCATCATCGAACCATTCTAAAGTCCTTCCTCTTATACAGGCTCTTAAATGTCCTATTGCATTATCTCTTTCTGTTGGAGGACCTCCTGCATTATTATTTGGATCTATTCCCCAATTCTGCAAGTCTAGTCTAAGTTGCGCAAGAAAGTCTGGGATACTATTATCCCAGTCAAAATATGGATGAGGTATTCCTGCCATGTTTACTTGATTAGGTGGATTATTCTGTAGTGCCAAAATTTGTGCCTGCAAATTTAAAATATTCTGCTAAGCATCATGGGTCTTATTTTTCCATTTCTCATATTGCTCATAAAGCCTATTGCGATTATACTCTAATAAACCTATATCCCTTCTACTCCACTGTAGATGGTGGGCATTTCGCTGATACAGCAATTTTAAGGCAAATTTTTCTTGTACTAGCACACCTATACGGGTTTGCTTTCTTGCTATCCTATCTAACATTCTGTTAACCTAATTTCGAGCATTAGTTTGCAACTGATAAAGATCACTAATAACTCTCTGTTCTACCCCTTCGGCAAGTTGCTTTTGTATAATTTCATTATCTCGCTCAGCCTCAGCATCATAGTGCCTTCTTTGCTCACAGACTAAATCTTGTTGTAATTGATCACGAGCTCACCTTAATTCTCTTAAATCCTGATGTAAATTATTATTTTTTATACGAATTTGACCAGTTGCATCTCTTATCTGTCTTTTTAAAATATCTCTATGAATTGCTCCTTCTAGAAAACCATCTATGGCATTTACCAACTCAGCAATTGTAGCCATTTCTAAGATAATATTAGGATTATACAAGTCTGGAGAATTTTTCTGCTCTGGAGAATTTTTCCGTGATGAGATAGTCTTGATCTGGCATCGCAATTTTTCAACCTGTTTCTCAGATTCTACTAACCATTCTTCTAGAGTAAAGATATATTTTTCATTATCTCAAACATCTTTCCTAGCTTGATTTAGCTGATTTTTTAGTCTGAAGATTTCAGATCTTAATTCTGCTATCTCTTCTTCTGAAGTATTCTCTAGACACTCTATTTCTTTATTGAAATTCTGGATTTCTTGCTTACACTGGGTATATTCTCGCTCTAGTTCTTTGATCCGCTTCTCATTCTGATGATTAATTTCTATTTCTGATTTCAATGCATCTCTAAGATTAATGTTATCATCCTCTAGCTCTGCCTTATATTCTTCAGGCGTTCTCCTCTGTCTTGGATGTGGTCTGGAGGACAACATTCTTTTTGTGATCGAGATCTTACTAGAAGTATAAAGAAAAAAGTACCCCTAACTAATGAGTAGAATCCAACTTCATAGATGCTAGCTCTCTTTCCGCCTCCAGCAACTGCATCTTCAGATCCTCAATTTCGCATTGTAATTTTTTATTTGCAGTAACCTGCTCTCTATATTTACTTTCTATGTCTTGCATGAATTTTTCAAAAGTTCTTTTATTATAATCAAGGAGATGCTGGCGGAACACTTTAAGTTCGTTCATAACCCGGTGATTATTCTTTTCCTCATAATCATGGGCTATTTCTTCAGTCTGGACTCCACTATCTACAGCATGTATAGTCAATAATGCTAGTAATACATTACATTCCAGCCAGCTTCGAGGATGAAATACTTTTTCCTGAGCCATAGTTTTATGTTTCTTTCTATTTAACGAAATCTCATAAACTTCTAATGTGTGCCTCAAATAAGATTCAATTCATTCAGACTTTCTAGAAATAGATTCTAATAAAACAGGGTCTTTAGAATGGAGCAAGAGTCTCTTACATGCTCTCTTAACAAGACTTTCAGGTAGTCTATCAATAATATGCTTATAGTCAGAATGGAACATTATAATAGATATAGTTTTGCACAAAAAAAGTTTGCATACAAAATTCACCTATAGTGGTACTATTCTTACACACCTATTAGGTTAATATCACGAATTGCGTCACATCTGATAGAAGATTGGTTAGGCTCCTGAAGGATGGTCACCAGACTAGTCACGGATCAGGTAAGTATTTTTTGTGATATTAATAGCAAATTTTTTATTAGTTCATTCTGTGTTTGCATATCTTCCAATTTTGCAATTCTGGCCTTAAGCTCAGTATTCTCAGCTCTAATTTTATTATTCTCAGCCTTAATTTTATCATTCTCAGCCAAGAACCTGCCAATAGAACTTCTCAATAAATTGGTCTCATCTATTTCAGATTGCATACTAGCATAATGTAGTATTAGTATATTAATATTCAAAAGTAAAAAATCACGTGATATCCTGACCAATGATCAGCAAAAAAAATCTATTATCTAGTACACGAATAGGTCTCTATAAGACTGACCACTAGTGCCAGTTTTATTATAATACAAAATAATAATAGTACATCTATAATCGAAAGCACTAAAGTTAAAGAATTATCTTATCTATAATTTCATGAAACTTGCCAGTAACATTACGAAATCTTGCACTCATCCTCACATTTTTAAACTCCCTATTATGCCAGAAATGGACAACATTTAACACCCTCTTCTGGAGTTTTTCACATTGCCAATACAGATTGGTTATGATAAAATCTTCATGAGAGAAGTGTATGATCCAAATTTCTTGGGGTTGGAGTTGCTCTTCATATTTAAATACTTGCTCAAAATGCCCATCCAATTTCGAAATGGATGTCATTGCCAATAGTTCAAGAAGAGCTTCCAGATGAGGACCATTGGGCTTTTTTATAGTTAGGTCACAATAAAGGTGATGGTACTCTTCATCATCACAAACTTTTTCAAGATGCCACTGGCTAGTGATCTCATATCCATGGATCTTTATTAACCAATTTACTAAAACCCGGTACATTTCAGCGTCGTATGTACTTTTCCTTGTAACTTTGATATAATGCTCAGAATTTATATACAAATGATTAGAACTTTTGTATGAATAGGAGGATCCTAGTGCAATTATGCCTTGGTCGAAATCACGTACTGCAGTCTTTAAAATCTCCAAAATATCTACAGATCCATCATTCTGAAATGGGATATCTGCAGAAGCATCCAAAACTTTGCTAATACTTCGTTTTTTAGCAACAGGGATGGAAGAAATGAATGAATCTGACTTTGAGAAGGCTGGCTTTTCTATTATCCCTTCTTGCAGTTTAGAAGTATCGGCTAAAGGTATGCGACCTTTTTTTCCACTAACCTATATTAAAATATACCCCTCAGTAATAAGTATCATCATTGAGGAATAATAAAATAAAAAATAATATTTTTTAGAATAGTGATACTAGAAGTAATGACCATATGGGATGGTTCTTATATGAATCCCATCTGCCCAAACACGGAATATTACTCAGTATACTTTTATCAAAAGAAAGGTACATAACCGAATTCTCCTCCAGAAACAGTAGACCTTTAACAAAAAGTATCATCAAATAATCTCATAACATTTAACAGAATGAATATGCTAAAGTACTGCAATAACTGAAGGCTTATATATTCCCAAGCAAAAGCTTTTTGTACCTAATATATCACATCTGAAAAATGTGTATTTGGGCTTGTAAAATAGAAACACATACCTTCTTCTTAAGTAAGAGATTTTTAACAACTTCAAGGATCTCCTGTGAGCTCATCGGATCATCACGGAAAATATATAATGTATTGTAAAATACCGTATGCATCTCATTTTTTTTGGTAGATTCAAACATATTAGTTGACCAGAATATAAAATGCTAAAGAGATCATACTCCACACAGAAAAAGCCAAAGATATTCAATTTTTCTTTTTTCAAGAGCTCTTGTTTTCTCTTTTAATATCTTAGCTTGTTTTTCAAGCTTCATAGCAGGTTCATGCTTTATACCATCCTTCATGAACTTCTTTCGGTCATATCTGGGAAGGTTTGGCCATCTATTTTCTGCTTACGAAGAATCTTGAAATCGTCCTTGTCAAGATTTATGTCCAGGTTGCATAAAAAAATAATGAGAGTCTCAGTATCCCAGTTTTCGACCAAAATGGAGCAGTTTGAAAAAGTTGTAGAAGTGGACATATTTTATTAGCTTGTTAGAAGTAGAAAACCCAAAAACAAGAAATATGTATAACGAACTTATCCTCTTTGATTTATGGCCTTTTATAAATAAGAAGAGACTGCTAGAGTTTGTTTTTAGGTAAGAGACACGTATACTTATGTTTTGTAATAATGCAGGTAATACAGATTGGCATATTGCTATTTTAGTAAGATTAGCATTACATTACTCAGGAGCTAATCCAGGATAAATGCAAAAATATGCAGGTGGTACATTTCACTAGGCGATTAGTGTATATAGACTGGACTTTGCACAAGCAGTCATACAAATATTGTTTCACAGATGATTTGTGGGCTATCATAGAGTAGCGATCTGTAGTCTTAAAATCCTAACTATCTGATTATCTATCTGATCCTACACGGATATTAACTAAACTATTCAAAAAAGTAATTATGCTCAGATAGACTTTAATTATCTGTCAGTTATCCGATCATCTGTTTAATCAGTGGTTATAAATTAAACAATAAATCATCGCATATTATTTTTATCATTAATAATAAATAATAAAACCTTGCTATTACTTTTATTATCGTTATTAACACTTTTATTAAAAAATGTCTGCTTTCAAAAAATGAAATATATCTGATTCTAATGTTTCTGGCTTAATTGAAATTAATAAAGCTTTTGAGGAAGAAGTTCTTCATTTGGACGTATCAAAAAAGCCTAGTTGGGTATGGCTATTTTATCGGCAAGAACTTCGCAAACAAAACAATAAATGGATAACATATTCAATATGTAAAATCGAGATATTAAATAGTAAAGAATGTAGAAGAACATACAAAACTGGATCCTCAACTGGTAATCTTATTGGACATTTAAGCGCTGAACATGGCATAACAAAATCGGATCAGAATCCTAAAAAGGTATATTATTATATTAATTAGTTAATATTAATATTAAATTTGTCAAATATTAATATTAAATTTAA